CCCCCCCCCCGATAAGTAGAATGAATCTGTTAGATTCCCATCGGGGTTACTATGTAAAGACGTATGTCGAGTGGATGGATGCATGGATATTAAGGAGAACTTTGCTGTGGTATGAAGGGCGTGTCCTGAAAGTCCCGTGGAAGTGATAGCACCGACTACTTTCCGAAGAGTACAAACCGTTGATCAAACATGTAAAAGTTTAAGGGCAGGAGATCGTTTGCCACATTTTATCCTGTCGTTTACTTTTGCTAACCCGGATGGCCATTGAGAATCATCCAAGATAGGCAGTAGTGCGTTTTTTCATGTACTTTTTTTCCAGAATGGGCTTTACTCATGAACGTAATAATTTGCACAAACTATTGTGGAGCTGCGTTCTGGTTTCATTAACCTATACAGTCAGCCTATGCCAGTCGGTATGCAAACTGACAATGTCTTCATGAAAAGATTAGTCGTTCAGAGGCTCGCCTTATCGTACGGCGTGTATTCGCCTGCAAGCAGGTGATAAGGTCTGCCACCGTGATTAACTGGACATGACGGCGATCCATTCTCAACATCATCGGATGACGGTGTATTTTGTAAGTAGTTGTTGGTTTCAGAAGCCTCAACTGTAGATTATGTATGTCCCGCTGCTCTCTGAGTTCGGCTAGATTTGATTCCTTTGTCGCTTACCGTTTTCGACGCGCTTGTATTCAGCCTTGTGGGTTATCCACCGTTCACCGAAGAGCGCAAGGACCATGACCTCCAAACTCAGATTGTCCAAGGATTATATGACTTCCCGGATATCTATTGGAAGGCGATTAGCGAAGAGGCCAAAGACCTTGTTCGAAAAATGCTCACCGTTGAACCCTCCGAAAGGCTAACAATTCAAGTGAGTCTCTTATGCTTATTCGTTTTTTCATAGGATTTTGCGTTTTGTTTATTGCGTTCGGTGTATTGAACTCAGTTTCTCGAATATATACATTCACGCGAAGAACGTACAATTCAGCGAACATGTTTTCAGCGAGTGGCTGGATGAGCTAGGTGGTGCTTTTTGGCTTCCTTTTCTGTTGATTCTTGTGCGCGTTTCTAACCAAAATCCCGGTACAGCCGCGATAAGTCGTGGTGAATTCAACTGTACTGTTTAACCCACATTTGGATAGGTGGGTAAATCTTCTAATCTCAGCGAATATTTTTCCTTTGTTAACGAATTCTACGCGAAAAATAGGCTGGATGTTTTATGAAAACGATTCATTTCCATGACCACAGTGGTCGTCATAAGCTCTTGGGCGTCATCATCATCAAAGATAGCAACATCAGTGTTGGCACTGATGCTTTACTGCCGTACAATCATAAGGTTCGTCTAGTTTATATATCGCCGGACATTTGGGCTCGCGTCCGGACGGGATCAGTAGATATTACAGAAATGTCTTTACCATTACTTTGCTAGATAACTCATCAATCGACTGCGCATTCGAACATGTATCAGTATGTCCCCAAATCCTTTCGCTACTTTCCGAAAGTTGCGTATGACCCACTCATGTTAAGTCGCGTGAAAGTAACGCCTAAAGTGAGCCTTATAGGTAGTTGTTACTCATGGTGATTTACATTTCAATATCCTCTTTCGATTCCGTCTTAACTACATATTTGATGATATCTTGGACCGGTGATTGTAGGCTATGAACCGTCCAAGTACGCTGTGTAGCCAATTGATGTGGTCCTTCGGTTTCTATAGTTTGATTATCATCGCATTCTTGTTTCCCTTTTTTAGGATGTTATCCAACATGCCTGGTTTGACGATGTGGCTATCAAAACGGATGTGCGTGAGTTGCTCAATAAGGCACAAACTACCGGTCTAGCAATGGGTCGCTCCGAGGCACTTACTAAGCTGCCTGCTGTGTTTACCGAAGATAAAGCGCCTGTTGGAAATCCGGTTGTAAATGGCTCTCTGCCGCAGTCAAACAGCTCCCTATCTAAGGCTCCCAGTCAGGACGATGATACCGTTTTACACGACAAGGTTAGTGGTGTAATTACTTACGCCGTCCGTGTTTTCCTTTGGATTATCTCTCCTCCTCCTGTAGTTCCCACAAAAACAGGAACAAATAGGTGTGCTTCTAGTGTCAGAACTGTCTAACAGGCACAACATAACTTATACACAAGCACCATAACACTGCATATAATAATCATATGAAACCCTCAGTACACATGATGCTCGCCCAAAGCTAGACGTGCAGGGAACTCGAACCCATGACTTCTCGCCTACCGGATGTGCGCCCTGTCAACATAGCTGTCTCAGACGCTAGCCCACGCGGACTCAGTATTGAAACGCTACATTTCTGCTTAATAGATCGCCAGCCGATTTTTATCAGTTCCTTGTGTGGTTTCCACAGTGGGTCAACGTCCACTTAGCTCAGCACCTTTCCTACCGCCTTCAGCCTCAGTGCCAGTTCTTTTGGCCACTCTTTTCCACGTTGAATTAGGTCCGTAGAAATTAACCTTCACATGGTTATCGAACCAGGCTCTTGGAAGTGATCGATTGAGGGACCAAAGTCTGTTATGGACGGTACAGAAGTTGCGGGCAGAGATGAGTTCAAATTCGATTTAGTTGTTTGCAAATTCCAATACTGCTTTTGGCTTTGCTACTAGCAGTTTGCATACTTGCGCAGTAGTCTGGCTGTGTCGGAATAGTGTAAATGATGGACTGTTTTTGAGCTACACCTGCTCATCATTAAAGAATAACGTAAAAAAACAATGCATCATCAGGAAGTACTTCATACTTTCATGTGGTACGCTTTGTACCAGATACCATTTCCGTTTGATGGCATACATGGGAAGACCGTATTGATGATTTGTGCGCTTCATGCTACAACAGGTAGAGGGAGTTGCTAATCAAAACTTAGTAACTTGTTTCGTTTCATTTATCGCTGCACGTGGTCTCTCAAGACATGCCTACATTATCTCATCTTCAACTCGAATTCGGATTGTTCAATTCCAACCCTTTTCTTGTTTCAGTCGCTTGCTCGGAAACGACCCGCAGATGAAGACTCTCCTATCCTTACGAAGCGTGTGACTGCATGATTTTTCATACTGTGTTCGATTCGTACGAATCTGCTCTGGATACCTTTGGAATTTGTTGCTGCGCTATGAGCACTTGAATTTTTACCTTCAATCTGTTTTAACGACCTAAGCATTTTTGTCTTTGATGGATACAAGTTTTTGTCTTTTCCAGTGATCTTACCAGATAATTACGTATTTTCACCACATTGGTTGTTATCCTTAACCTGGCTTTTGGGTTACATGGTTCCACATCGGCTCCTATACTCTCCGACTTTGAACTGAGCTGAGTATCAGGTGATTGCATGCTCGGTTAACATGTGGGGTCCATATATTGCGGGACGAGTCCTGTTATTCAGTACTTTACCGTTGCGTGATAAATCTTTCTTTTCACAATCAATTTATATTACGCCAGGATATTCAGTCGACCTTTAGATTCCTTAAAAGTACTTGGTCCACTAGAGTTCTGTTCGAAGTGTCACGTGGTTATCGTGAGTGATTCGTTTTATATTTTCTGGAGGTTCTCCTGAATCGGCCTTGATTATTACCATGGTTTCGTTTTGACAAGCTTCGTCAGACCAAGTGACTAGGTTACGAGGTTGGTCGAGATTTTAGGTGGAAGAAGATCCAAGCAGCTAAGTCAGATCAAATCTGTGTTAGGTATCGGCCAAGGGGTTTTGTCTGCTAGGGTGGGCCACCAGGTGCCGATAGGGCAAACTACATGGATTTGCGTTCAGCGTAGAGTCTAGTTCTTCCGGTGCAGTTCACGTGATCCCTATTGAAATTCGTTTGCACTTTTCGTCCGTCTGTGTGAATGAGCTGATGCTACGCTAGTTGTACAAGGAAGAGGGATTTTGTGAACTTTGGTCGGTTTGGGATTTCCACCCCGTTTCTGCTTATAGTTCTGCGTACACGCAGTCACGTGTCAACTCGGCTTATCTAAGAACGCTTTCCATACACTCGCCAGTTCCACACCCTCGATTCTATTCATGCCGTGAGGCTTGATCATTTCCATCGCCTCAGTTATCACAGTCTTCGGCTTAAAACTTCCACACTCTTCAGATCTATTCTGTGCTGTGTCTGACGCATGTACCACCATTGCTGCGTCTGACCAGCGTTTGGTATTGCTGCACATTCCTTGGTGGTTTGCTTATCCTTTATGCTCACCAATTCTGGTGTGCAGTGACCTGGTTGTTTGTCCTGTTTAAATCTTAGTGCAATCGTTGCAGTTAATTTTATACACGCAATCCCTAGTCCTTCCAACCTGGAGGGGATCTTTCAGTTGCACCAAAACTGAGCGCAGCGCTTCTCCTTCTGGAAAGTTACTCTAATATTGGCTAAGTTCAGCAGTCTTCGAATAACATCTGATGTTCTTGCTTTACATGGAACGACTGTTGTGCCAATCCAGTCCTTACTGGGTCTAGGTTTCTAATTGTCGCCAAATCGGACTCATTAGGTATCCTATTTCTTGAAGTCTGTCTCGGTTTGAGGTGCTGTTCGGTCGATCTCTTGTGTGCACAGCACTCTGACTCCATCAAACATCGATAAGACAATACTGGTGTACACGGACTTTGTGCTGATGAGTAGTTTAAGACGGTTCCTGCGTCTGTTGGTTTCTGGTAGATAGTTTTTAACTACAGTTCAGGAAGGGTAATGTACCCGAGATGGTCCCTATCTCCATGCTAATGTTGATATGAAGATTCAAACCATTGCAATAGTCGTGGAAGTTGTTCACGTTTTATTGCAATAAAGGTATCGTCAACATAACGCCAAAAAACTTTCGGTGGACAATGATATCCGGCCAAGGCCTTATATTCGAAATCCTCTACATAAATATTAGCCAAAACGGGATATTTGAGACCCCATCCCAAGACATTGTTCTCCTGAACACATTTGTGTCTAAAACAAACTGATCGAGATTCAAACTTACTCTTATACCCTCAACTATTTCATCCAACGAGAGATGTGACCGTTCCTTGAGTCTCACGTTTGCCAGTAACAGCCTATTAGTTACCTCCAGAGCATCTGCCCTAGGGATGTTTGTGTACATTGAGATTGCGTCAAAACACAAAGACTAAGTCCATCTCCAAAGGAATCCCTGTGACCTTATTGGCAAGGTCGTACGAATTCCTAATGAAGGTGCTTGATTTCTCCGTGAGTAGTTTTAGTATATCAGCTAAGAATCTGGCTAACTCATGTGGTGGCGAGCCTATACCATCCATCATTGTTGGTAATATTATTCATCTGAATGTACTGCACAAAACCTGATTCGCGTTCCAGTTTTATTGACATAACACTATTTATAAGGTTGATATGAACTCCTCGACAACTCACTGCTGGTTGCGGCCTACTTGGGACCCATCAGATGAATCTTTGTGCAGCACTCTCAGTAGAATAATACCATCGATAAGTATAGATACAGTTAGACCCCCGTCTCAACCCAAAGCGCGAAGTTCACTTGCAGATTCTTGTGTGATTCCACTCACGTACGAACTGGTATTCAGGTAGGAAACTGAATCAATGGAAATTCTGGGACCAGGCCCACCTGGTAACTGTTTAAGATCTTAAGCCTTTTCGAATTTACATAGGTAGGGACTAGTACACCTTGTCACCCTGACAGTGCAAATACGAATGGGACTCCTGTAGACTGTGACTCTGCTGAGTGAGTCATAAATACCCGTTAACCGCTTTGATCCTATCAGTCCGTAGTCCCATTTATCCTGAAATCGACGAAAAATCTCAGTTCAGACTCACCTGTTCTATAAGTGGACGATGTATCGTCCGTGCAACAATATTTTGACGATTTGGCATTAGAGATTATCCCTTATTTCCTTCTCGAATTTCTGGACATGTTCTGTCACCCGGAGACGCTTTTTTCAGGAACTGTCCAGAAAAGTTGGTCGAGAAACAACACAATCTCTTTCGTATCCTTCTTCTAAGTCAAACGCCGTCCGTCGCACAGTTTGCACCATTTTGAAGGAGGCACGGAGAACATCATCCGTCTTTGCATATACTAATTTGGCATGCCTACCACAGAGCTGAGCCGCCGCAGCTATTGTTACTGGGTGTTTTGTGCGACCAAAGTATCTGCTACATAGCCTAGGACATCTCTTTTTATCACCTCATTGGGAATTCATTGACGCCATTCGATACCAGCAAAGATCCTGAGATATCTGTAACCATCAAATAGGGCTTCAGGAGCGCCAAGACTCTTCCTGGGAATTCATGTGATCAGTGATTACAACGATGTCTGAAATTTCGGACTGCTGTGAAAAAACACTAAGCATCATTAAACTGTCTTTGGTAGACTTAGAGCCGCGGTGTTTGGGACCTAGGTAGATACACTAACTAGAGGGCGATGGGCCTCTCTTGATGTTATTTCTCAAACCTTACCACCCAATAGCGACTATCAACGGTGTTCGGTCAAGTATTAAGCTTTCTCTAGATGGCTTAAAACAACTTCCATCCCCAGCTTACCAGGGCTCAGTGGCCTCTGCGCAAGTGAGGAGGGAATGACGTCCAAGGCAGCTGAATTGCAATGCTTGTTTCCTGGTTTCTCGTTTTGTCAGATATCATACCTCGATGAGGATGGAATCCAGCTTATTGTCCCACTTGCTTCGACGTGCGGACCTTAGGAGCAGTATTGTAGGGTATGAGTTTATATCAATGGATTTGAGACTTTTGCGGCATACAGGCGCGTAGAGTTTACCTCTGAGTGCGACGCAATGTGGGCAACGATGTCTGTCATATTGCTAGGTTCTGAAAAAAGTGAAATCGGTGAGACAAAGAAAAGAAGGAGTACTTGTAGGTGTAAGAAAGAAGCATCGATAGTGGCAGTTTTTTGTTTGCTTGCCCCGAGATAATTGCACCAGTCGACTCCGACATAACATGACGGTATATTTAACTGTAACCTTCGTAATTGTGCGAGGGCATGATTACTAGTATGGCACCCAAACCTAGACAGAAGGATGCTTAATTCCCTCAGAAACAAGGTGGTGGATGGGTGCCGGTATACCACCACGGTAGTAGATGTTTTCAAGCAGCAAATCCCTGTACGGATTCCTACCTCCAACCGAGAGACAGTTGTCAGTCCTCCAACCATTCAAAAACCCGGCGTGGAGAGCTGTTCACTAAAGTGGATCCCGTGGTACGGCTCACTTGGTCATGGAGGTACACAACCCGTCGCACCGCCAAGAAGTTGCAATGTATCTCTTACTCATCGATTCTACAGTAAATGTAAACGGAAACTAATCAGATTGTGAAATTGTTTGGATTAAATGGGTGCACGAGAACTGTGGAACGTTAATTTAAAGAAAAAAATAGTTCATCTAATGACTCAAGGGATTGTGGATCACAAAGACTGGATGATTGACTGGACTTCAGTTACGACAGTTGGTGAATCGGGTGCTGGTCAGTCATATATTCTCATATCTCCTTGTGCTTGGTAAACTAGGAAGAGGATTTCACCAAGTCTGACCTGATTTTCGGACAGTGGCCTTCTGGTCTACGAACAGTTCGGTCCCAGGATCACTTGGAAGATGACAGTAAATTGCGTTTCAAAGTTCGCCCAAAATGTGTGGTAGGACAAAACTGCTACATCTGTATGTGACGCCCTGACCTATCCAATATGATATCCTCTGAAGTCTGTTTGAAAAACTCAGCAGTTCGCCCGCTGCTATCACCTTCTGCTGGCAATAGTCAAAACAAACTTGTCCTGGCTTAACCAAACGCCTCTGATTCACACTACCCTTCCTAGCATCCACCCTTCTGGAGTAGCTACTTTAGGTTATTGCAAAGTGGTTTAGCTGTGTTGCACACGTTCCTCACCGATATTTCACGATTCCTCTGTCCAAGAAACTCACCATCTAAGCACTAGTTGGACACGTCCCTCATATACTTAGAATTGTTTTTGTTTTCAAGCGTCAGCATATGTTTAGGGGAACTGCTCAAATCAAAATATTTGCTTCCCTTCCTTAACGTATGCAAAACCAGTTAGCAACTAAGCCTTGGCAACACCCTTGTTCTTGTTTCTGCTTCTCACTTTCATTTCTCGATGACCGAATTTTGCTCAACGCACTATACTTTTGTGACACTTCCTGGCTTATTCTTAGGATGCATTCGATTTAGAATCCCACACCAATGCTCATGACTAATCATCGATCGATATAACCTTTTTGTCTTTTACGTTTTGACCTTACGTGA